CTCAACCGTCAGGGCGGTGTCAGATCCAGAAATCTCTGTCGACTGACGCACCGCATTCTAGTTTGGTCTCAGAGCCGCCTGCTCTCGCTCAGAGCGACGCACGTGCCGGGCCATCTGAACGACGGTCCAGACATACTGTCCAGGAACCTCATCTCCACAGGAGAATGGTCCCTGAACTCACAGACGGTCCAGTTACTGTGGCGACTATTCGGCAGAGCAGAAGTAGACCTCTTCGCGTCAGAAGAGAACGCTCACTGCCCAATATATTTCTCGAAGAGCGAGGACGCGCTAGCCCAGGAATGGCCTCGCCGCCCGCTCTATGCATTCCCTCCGATCGCTCTGTTACCACAGGTAATTCAGAGGATCAGGGACACACGCCACTCGGTGCTCCTCATAGCCCCGCGTTGGGAGAGTCAGAATTGGGTTCCGGAGCTCACGCAGCTGTCACAGACAGCCCCGTGGCCCATCCCAGTCAGAGCAGATCTCCTCTCTCAAGCTCGCGGCACGATCTGGCACCCCCATCCACAGCGCTGGGCGCTGCATGCATGGGTGATCAACGACTATTCGTTGATTTGCCAGAGGGAGTAAGAAACACTGTCATACAGGCTAGAGCACCTTCCACGAGAAGGCTCTATGCGTCTAAATGGTCTGTGTTCTCAAAATGGTGCACCGACAAACAGCTGGACCCACGGTCGTGCGAGGTGCCGTCTTTGCTTGTTTTCCTTCAAGAGATGCTGGACAAGGGCAGGTCCCCCTCCACTCTCAAGGTTTATGTGGCAGCCGTCGCGGCGTTCGCGGAACCCCGACGCGCTCAGTCATTGGGCAAAGACGAGTTAGTCATCCGCTTCCTCAGGGGAGCTAAGAGGATGAACCCTCCGCGGCCCCCGTCGGTTCCGGTTTGGGATCTTTCTATAGTCCTTGAAGCTATGAAAGCACCCCCGTTCGAACCGCTCGAGTCTGTGGATCTGAAATACCTCTCGCTCAAAACCGTTTTCCTGACGGCTCTGTCCTCAGTTAAACGCGTTGGGGATCTTCACGCGCTCTCATCCAGCGCCGCGTGTCTTGAGTTTGGACCGAATGATTCGATTGTCATTCTCAAACCTAGGCATGGCTATGTCCCGAAGGCGATTGGTACCCCGTTCAGGGCTCAGATTATCTCCCTATCGGCTCTGCCTTCATCCGATAGTGAGCGCGATGCCAATCTCCTTTGTCCGGTGCGGGCTCTGAGATTGTACACTACGCGCGCTGCCGCGTTCAGACGCGCTGAGCAGCTTTTCGTGTCGTTTGGGGGGCGCACCAAGGGTCTGGCCGCCTCAAAACAGACACTGTCTAGATGGATAGTGGACGCTATCGCCTCTGCTTACGCATCTAAATGCCTGCCCTGCCCTCTGGGCATCAGGGCGCACTCCACTAGAGGCATGGCCTCATCGTGGGCATGGTCCTGTGGAATTTCCATTCATGACATTTGTGTGGCCGCGGGATGGGCCTCCCCGTCCACTTTTGTCAGGTTTTATAACTTGGAAGTTCCCGCCTTGCAGGCAAAATTACTAGCTGTCTGACGAACAGCTCTCTAAGAAGCTGCATTTCTGGAGGTCCCTCACAACCGGTTCGCCCCTTGTGCTCTCCTGTAATGCTTATACACTTCATGTGCCCGCTCTGCTGGCCCCATACATGCTTATGTGTACACTTCATGAGCCCGCTCTGCGGCCTCTTTGTACATTCACTCCACGTTAAGAAATTCCCCCGGTATATCCCTGGGTTTTTCATGAGTGGATTCGTAGCGCGCACGGCGTTGGCCAGGTGTTCCCGCAGCGTAAGCTAGCTTACGCAATACGAGAGAACCTCTCGTAAGAGAACGAATCGGTTACCTAACGTAACCTCGGTTCTCTCTAGAAGAGGGAACGAGTATTGCGTTCCCGGCCGTGCTTGCGCTACTAGCGTTTCGCTTCACGCTGAAATAAATCAACATATAAGCCTGGGAGAGCGCCTTATATACACCATGGACACGCCCATTCTGGCGGGTCATGACGCAATGAGCGCGCGGGCGCCTCTCATTGGAAGCGGGTTCAGCCCCGCTCTCCCATAGGCTTAAGCAGTTCTCTCTGAGCGAACCAATGAGCTGCTAGCTAGCCCGCTCTAGGTCTGCCGCAGAGGAACTGCGTTGTGTATGGATACAAAATTATGAAATAATTTTTTGGCTTCAATATCTCAGCAAAGATGAATCTTTCCCGCAGCGTAAGCTAGCTTACGCAATACTCGTTCCCTCTTCTAGAGAGAACCGAGGTTACGTTAGGTAACCGATTCGTTTTCAAGATCAAACCCGATGGACAGCTCCTCACAGTGGAAGATCTCTTACAGGCAGAAAGGTCAGTTATCTCTTATGTTCAGAGGCAAGCGTTCCCAGATGAAATTAAAACACTGCAAATGACCCCACCTAAAGTGAAAAGAAGCAGCAGGATCTGTAGGCTTGATCCTGTGCTAGATGAAGGCATCTTAAGAGTAGGTGGCCGGATGCATAAATCTGCCATGCCTGATGAAACTAAACATCCCTGTATCTTGCCCAAAGATTCACACATTTCAATTCTTCTTTTAAGACACATTCATGAACGCTGTGGTCACAGTGGCAGGAACCACATGCTCTCAGAGCTCCGTAAGAAGTATTGGATTATTAAAGCCAACTCCTTAGCAAGAAAGGTGCTCTCAAGATGTGTCATGTGTCGACGTGTGAAGGGCAAAGCAGGTGAGCAAAAAATGGCAGATTTGCCCCTGGAAAGAATCCTACCTGACCTCCCTCCCTTTACCAATGTCGGATTGGACTATTTTGGCCCGATTGAAGTGAGGCGAGGAAGAAGCACCATCAAAAGGTATGGAGTTCTGTTTACATGTATGTCTAGCAGAGCTGTTCATTTGGAAGTAGCTTTCTCATTAGACACTGACTCATGCATTCACGTTTTGAGGAGATTTGTTTGCAGAAGGGGGCAGATTAAGCACATCAGATCTGACAATGGAACGAACTTGGTGGGTGCTCAAGGGGAGCTCAAGAAAGCTCTGATGACACTGGACAAGTTGAAGATCCAGGATGCTCTGCTCCCTGATGGAATCGAGTGGAGTTTCAATCCACCAGCTGCATCGCACCATGGTGGAGTCTGGGAAAGGCTTATAAGATCTGTTCGTTATGTACTGTACTCCACACTCCATCAACAGTCCATCGATGACGAGGGTCTTCAAACTCTATTCTGTGAAGTAGAGGCTATTCTAAACAACCGTCCTCTCTCCACAGTGTCCTCAGACCCATACGACCTAGAACCGCTGACCCCAAACCACCTTCTCCTGCTGAAAACTCAGCCCATTATGCCTCCTGGAATCTTTCTGAAATCAGACCTTTATGCTAGACGCCGCTGGAAACAGGTCCAGTACATGGCAGACCTCTTCTGGCATAGATGGACCAAAGAATATCTTCTTCTACTCCAGGAAAGGCAAAAATGGACTGTAGTGAAGAAGAACCTGAATGTTGGAGATCTTGTTCTGGTGGTTGACCCCACTGCTCCTAGAGGGTCATGGCCATTAGGAAGAGTTCTAGAGACCAAGCCTGATCAAAAGGGGCTGGTCCGATCCGTGAAGCTCCAGACACAGACTTCAATCCTTGATAGACCCATTACCAAACTGTGCCGAATTCTGGAAAATGAAGAGTGTCCGGTGCTCCTTAAAGATCACCAATAAGGGATGTAATGTATACATATATACATATATTTCTAAAAAATATTAAGAGATTATTTGATTTCTGGCTCCTTTTTTATTTTATTTATTTTGAATAATTGATTCTATAGAGAACAATTAGGGGCCGGTGTGTAGGAGCCGCATTTGAGTTTTATTTTTGGTTTCATAATTTACTTATAATTGTTTTTTCTATTGCATTTGAGTGGTACACCTTCTACAGCCAGAGAGGGCGCTATCCTATAAGTTGGAGTGTGTAGCGCATGAGAGAGGAAGAAGGCGTGCCAGCTGATACAGTCTTTGACCTCGGCCTGGATCTGTGCTACTGAAGCTTGGCCTGTGTGAGAAAGCTGAACGCCAAGCGCAACAAAGGAATGCTTAAAGACATTTAAACCAGTTCTCAGTTTTTGTTTTGTACTTTATATTTATTTGCAATAAATATCCACAATCATTCAAGCAACAACACTCTTGGATTTTCTTGGATTCGGGCTGTGAGTCTGACCCGGTACTCGCATTCTCCAGGTGGTTGGAAACATTAACAGGGGGTTACAGGAAAAACCCAACAATGTTTTTGCCGCTACATACTGGTATCATTGTTTATAAGAGTAGACGGCATTTAATGGGTTTTAGGATATAGGTGACTCTATATTTGCATATTAGACTTTGAATGTATCAGATAATATTTGAATATGTCGATTAGTTTACTGAAATTATAAAATATGGAATAACTAGGTATTTTATAGGCACATTGCACTCTTTGTTATGTTTTAAATATAGCCAAATCTAATCAAATCTCATAGTAAATCGAACCATTTTGAAAAGAATCAGATTCCTATGAATCGTGAATTGAATCAGATCATTATTATATATATCTACCCAAAGATTTACACCTCTAGTCCAGTCACACATGTATCTACCAGTGAAGAGTCTCATTAAGTTATAAATCATATAAAACTACCACTCAAACTTCACAACTGTCTCATCCCTCCATCAGCAGAAGTGAAACTGTTCCAGTTCAGAGCGTTGAACCAGTAAAAGACTGAAACTGTGAGTTTGAGGTGAAAATCTCATTTGCATTGTCAGGTTTAGTGATTGTGATGGTCTCAGAATAGAGCCGCTCGTCTCCAGTGACCATGTTCAAACCCCAAGAGCTTCATTTGACATTTACTGCTGAATGCAGCTGTTCTCAACTATTACAATCAATCAAAAGCAGCTGAAACTTTAGTGCAGGACTTTGAAGGAACGACACACTGATCAATGATGCAGTCACACACACATGTAAGCTTGCGTTCAGATGAAGCTTTATTGAATGAACAGCAATGGCAGCACATTGACAGACTGCTTCAGTATTGAGCTGTAAATCACGTGCCGCTCAGATACGCTGGTCTTCACTGGAGAAACATCAGCACTCGGAGCTCTTGAGGAACGAGGCCTCGTGAGCAGCTCCGGCATGTGTTCCTCTGCAGACCAAGCGCTCTCTGCCTTCCCAGCGTGCTTTGCTGAGGCTCAGGACGCTGCTGCGACTGTAGAGACCGCCCCGCTCGCTCTCTGCGCTGGTCTGAACCCCCTCGGTGACCTCTGACCCGTCCAGCGTCCAGCTCACCGTCGCCCCCTGTGGAGAGTAAGAGCTGAGCAGGCAGAGCAGAGCGGAGGAGTCTCCAGAGACCAGCAGAGACACGGAGGGAGACACGGCGGGCCCGGCTGAAACACACACACACACACACACACACACACACAGTTAGTTAGTTAGATGTCAGACTCGGTCATGTAGTAGAAATCACAATCATTTTATCTTTACAGAAATTCCACATAACTGCTTTCATTCATAAACCACAAATATCCTGAATTCAGTTTAAAATATTCTCAGTTAAATCAATATTCACTAATACTCAAAAATGTATCATGTGATTCTAAATATAAATCAGTTCTGTAAAGCAGACATGATATACAGCGAATCTTACAGTAATTTGAAATTTTCTGAATACTTATTTTATTATTAATTGTATTTTGAAAAATTCTTAAGACTCACAATCATAATTATCAGCAAATTTCAGTTCAAATAATGAATTTTTCACATCTTTCTTTTTGTCTGATGGCGACGCCTAAAAATAGAATTATTTTAACCGTATAATCAAACTTTTGTGTCATGGATTTTAAAAAGTATTAGCAGTTAAATTTACCAAGAATGATGGACACAATTATGTACTTTTAAAAAACCTGAATATGTCAAAAAATATAACAATATTACAAACTACATTCAATATAATATTACAATGATATTGCAATCAACCTATTACATTTTAAAACAATATGAAATTGAAGCAACTTTTGTTTCATGCATTTTAAAAAGCCATTAATAGTTACATTTACCAAGAATTATAGACAAAAAGATTTTAAAGTAGTAGTCAATACATGAAATTAACAACATTTTTGCAATAACAAGATGTTCAATTATTTGTGTAAAATGAAAAAGACATTTAAAAACATTTATATGAATTATAAAATTTAAATAAATAAAAAAATATACTAAATATTTGAAAAAAATATAAAAACTATTTGATTTTTTTTACGTTTTTTTTACGAGTTAGGTTAAAAAGAATTCTCCATTAAATCAATATTGACTATTACTGAATGTACACTGTAAAAAAATATTGTTATTTTAAAAATGAAATACAAAAAATGCTACAGTAAAAATTCTTAATTGATAAATGTTTGTTCCTTTACTGATACATTAAAGTTGTAATAGATTTAACTGGAAATGTCATGGTATATTACAGTAAAATAGTGTTAAATTTACAGTTTTGGAAGTGAAAAGAACAGGTCTGGCGAACAAAGCAGCCTTTTTCTTACCATAGTTACAGATTTTTTATAATGTATCGAGTTCAAGATGTATAAATATAAATCAGTTCTCTGAAGCAATCATGATACACTTTCAAAAATATGATATTTGTTCCGTTCTGCATTAATTAAAAAGTTTAACTGATTTTCAAGAACTCTGTCCAAGTGCAATTTGATCATTTTATTGTGATATTGTATAAGATTTAGGAAATTATCATTTCAATATATTATTTGTATTTTGAAAATAATCACCATTCAGGATACTTAGTTTAACTACTAAATTTCTTTTTGCCTGATGATGACAATGATGACATTTATTTTGTCTATATTTTCCAAACTTTGGTTCAAATTAAATATATTAAGGATTCATTTAAAATATTGCTATTAATTAAAATACAATTAAATGTTAGAACACATTATGTGTGAAATTACTAATGTAAAACTTTATGAATGTGAACTATGGATTGCAATGTACAAAACATAGAATATCACCAAATATTACATATTCATAATATAGCAGACAAAATTAAATAATAAAATGTATGCAATCAATCAATATCAGTAAAATAGAAAAAAAATTACAATAAATAAGATTTGAAATGTAAGCTAAGCTTTTCAATTATATTTTTTTGTAATAAATTAAGAATATTGTTGTCAAATGCTGTTAAATAACCTTAAATCTCCTTCTAAAAACACACATACATTTTTATTAAATAATTTAAGAAAGACTCACAGGTTCTGATCGTCAGTTCAGTTCCTCCACCGAAAGTCCACCACAGTGTTTCATTCTAGTGAAAGCGTCATACAAAAACCTCCGTCACACTCAAATGAACACACACACCAGCAGAGAAAGAGACGAACGACACACACACACACACACACACACACACACACACAAACACACACTGATATGAGACTCAACATCATGATTATTGAACTGAAGTGACTTTCACAGAAACAGCCTCATCGTCTCTAAATGTCTCTTAATGCATGAAAACTATTAAATCTAAATAAATAATATAATCAGAAAGACTACTGATATTTACACATCTGAGGAGTTTCTAAATGATCGTGTGTTTCTCAAAGCATTTGAATAAGTTTTGATGACCTGTGACCTCTGGAATGACCTTTGACCTCTCATGGAGTTCACAGTGAAATACTCGTTTCTTTTAGTGATGAAACTCTGTCACTCGATTCATCAGAAAGTCTGAACTCTGAACCAGAGACTCATGCAGAATAAAGAAGAAATGATTTCTAAACTTGTAAAGAAGTGAAAACACACTCATTGATCATGAGAATAAAACACATTAAAGGCATAAACTGGATCAGTTTCGTCTGCATGTTCATGTTCATGTGTGTTTTCCTCCAGCTGGTTTTTGCTCAGAGAGTCACTTTGCATCGGCACGTGTTTCAGCTCTCCGAGTGTTTATAGCCTTCAGACTCACACACTTTATAACACACGGCTGTTTACCACGGTACAAACCCAACACACACCATGAATCTCTTCAGCGGCTTCATCTGGATTCTGACAGCTTTTATTCCAGGTAACAGAAGTCAAAGCTCGTCATTTCTGAGTCTTTAATGTTCATTTCATTTGATGAAACTCATATAATGTTGTTGTCGACAGCATCCAGAGGAATCACTGTGACTCAGCCTGAAGTTGTGACTGTTTCTGAAGGACAAGAAGCCACTATAGAGTGTAAAACTAATCCTGGGATAAATGGCTGGGGTTTATATTGGTATCAGCAGAAACACGGAGAAGCTCCTAAACTCATCATTTATGCTGTAGATGAACTCTATGATGAGAGTCTCAGTCGATTCAGTGGGAATGGAGAATCTGGAGGAACAGATTTCACTCTGAGCATCAGTGGAGTCCAGACTGAAGATGCTGGACATTATTACTGTCAGAGTTATCATGTCACCGACAGTGGTGATGTGTTCACACAGTGATAAAGAGTCGTACAAAAACCTCCGTCAGTCAGAGTCACAGTGACTGAACTGAAACTGCAGCTGCTCAAAGGAGGATCTGAAATAAGCAATAAGTAGCACTTAAAAGTCAATACCAAATCAAAACTAGCACATTATTTGTAATTGAAAAGGTTTAATGACAAAACATAGTTATGGTTAAACTTAAAATAGTTACAACATAGATGTATGAGATGATTATAACTTATATCTATATATTGTACTGTATATTATATTATATTATAACTTGTACCCAGCATATATATGTAAAATGTTACCAGAGAGAGAGAGAGAAGAGGAGGTAAAGAGAGACAAAGGGACCCAGAGCATAAAGAGAGTCAGAGCAACAGTTACAATCTTCTTTTAGCCTTTCCCTGACCATGTGACTAAAACATAAATATGAGACATTCAAGCTGACCAATCAGATAATTACAACTTCCCCCACTGACAATTCACACATCCCCAAAATACACACATTTTACAGGCCATAATCACTATCATGCCCTCAAATCCAAATGGTCACTAGCCGCATTCCCACTGTCGGGCCGAACCAACACAGTCTCATCCCAAGGCGTCATCATGCGTCAACATGCCGACCTTTAAGTGTCAATATGAGACGCTCATCCTCGGGCGTCATCTAACTGACGCTTTTGACCATGCGTCTAAATCCGACGCACATGGCACCCTTTAGCGTCAGTTAGATGACGCTTCCGTTATGGGTATAGGTTTAGGTCTGGGGTAGGATTAGGGTTAGACCACTAGGAGGCGCGTCTCATATTGACGCTTAAAGGGTGCCATGTGCGTCCGCATGTTGACGCATGGTCAAAAGCGTCAGTTAGATGACGCCTTGGGATGAGACTGGGTTGGCCGAACCGTATAGTGCGTGCCAGAGCCAGTTTCCACTGTCACTTCCGGGGCTTGATCAGGGCTTACTCGGGGCCAACGGCCAGGATTTCTGGCCCGTCGGATACCTTGGGCCAAAGCGGGTCGTTGCTGAACTTGCTAAGCTAAGCATTCGGCGAACAACGCTTCAAGTTCGGGAAAAAAATAAAAGAGTTGCGGGCGCAGGACAAGGCGATTAAAACGCACAATGGACAAAGCGGAGCCCAGAGAAGGAACTTTCCATGGTTCGACTTGATGGACGGTGTGCCGGGTCACCGTCCCTCTGTTAGTGGCGAGACAAGTCGGGACACTATGGCAGCCACAGCCGGGGAGTTAATATACATGCTATCTTCCTAACTTAAGAATAATACATTCATAAAACCCACTGAAATAGGTTGTATGACGTTTAATCCAGGAAGGCGTGTTAAGGGCGGGGTTTAGGGCAGCGCTGCGGCTCAAAATTTTTTTATGAAACTGGTCATTATAACAGTGTTAAGTGCTTTTTAACATGTAATTTTAACATGAAGTAAGTCATGAATCTGTTTCTGAATATAATAAACAGAAGTTTATTAGCAAAGACACTAAAAGGCAAAACAGTGTTTCTTCTGTCTTCAGGGAAATGATGTGGAGTGTGTTTGCATATTGATCAGATCTTCAGTGTGTGAGAGTGTTTATAGTGCTGTGAGTTTAACACTTCATCACTGACACACACACAACACTCTTCATCAACATGACCTTCATCATCATCTTCATCTGGACACTTTTATACTGCTTTATACAAGGTGAACAGTTTATATTCTAAATAAATCATTTAAATAATATATATTTTTTCACAGCTTAAAAATATGTCAAATAATATATACTTTATAGACTGATTAATGATTTGTTTTTCAGGGTGTAGAGCTCAGATCACAGTGACTCAGACTCCTTCAGTGAAAACTGCCAGACCAGGAGAAACTGTAGAGATGAGCTGTAAACTCAGTAGTAATGTAGGAACCTTCAGCTCAGCACCCTGTGTGTCCTGGTACTTACAGAAACCTGGAGAAGCTCCTAAACTCCTGATTTATCAAGCAAACCGCCTCCAGTCAGGAACTCCATCTAGATTCAGTGGCAGTGGATCTAACAGTGATTTCACTCTGAGCATCAGTGGAGTCCAGACTGAAGATGCTGGACATTATTACTGTAAAAGTATACATGTCATCAACAGTAAAAATGTGTTCACACAGTGATAAAGAGTCGTACAAAAACCTCGGTCAGTCAGAGTCACAGTGACTGAACTGAAACTGCAGCTGCTCAAAGGAGGATCTGAAATAACATCGTCACACTTGCATCTGAAATAAAACCATATAAATTAATCTGACACTCTTAATAATTATAGAGTAAAGAGATTGTATGCTCTTATTTGCCACCTTTTATTAATAATAGATCTTAATTTTTCATAATACTCAGTATTCTAACATGTCATTTGTTTATTATGCACTGTATTCATACTATATTCTGCAGACAGTAAGAGTTTTATATTAGCTTGCTGTATTAATTGTAGCCCTTGATCAAGTGTGTGTGTGTGTGTGTGTGTGTGTGTGTGTGTGTGTGTGTGTGTGTGTGTGTGTGTGTGTGTGTGTGTGTGTGTGTGTCTGTGCTGTTCTGTCGTCCTAAAGCCTTGCTTATACTTTCTCCTGTATGGTGTGTGGAAAGTGCTTTGGATTTCACACCGAAGGAGACAGTCGTGTATTTTTACGTGAGAGAAGGAGTACGTCGCTCCACAGACGCGCGACACTAACGTCACCAACACAATAAATTAATATCTTATCCTTGTGGGTTTTTTTCTAGCTTTCTATCTTTCTTATCAATCATTGTTAACTTTTTTCTTGTACTTTCCTATCTGTTCTTGATACATGTTGTGTAGAAAGTCTGCAACCTTTCAGTGTGACTTAATTGACTGACCAAATCTGAATGATTATTCCTGCGGCCGATCTCTGTGTTTGGATATAAGAAGCCTCTCTCTGACACACACATGTCCTGTGAGGAATTGTTGAGTTTTGACAATATGTTCCTTTTGCTTGTTTGATATATTTGATATTTTGAATAGGCCTACATTAAATTCTAGTTTGATTAGTTTCTTTGATCCTACATAATTAAATTTGTTAAAGCTGATTTTAGACATATGATTTAAAACATGCTAATGTGTTTGTATTACACTAATTGTCTTCTTCCCTCTTGTTGGGATACCCCAAATACAAGGCCACAAAGCCGCCATACTCCTCCTGCTCCAACGCACCACGGAGGAACCAGTTTGTTTCGCAAAAAGTTATCAGTGATTGATAAGCGTTAAGCGACGACAATGAGCTCCCAGCACAGGAGCCTGAGACAAGAACCAAGGCTTCTTCCACATCACTAGGGCACGTAAGCATCGCTGCGTGACCCTGATCATGGAGTTGCCCCTCGGGGAAACCCTTCGGTCCTGAGCCAGCACTGCAGGGTCTCATGTACAACAGGCCAAAGGGAATCACACTGGACGCTGCTGCCATCAGACCCAACCGCCTCTGAAACTGTTTCCCAGTGAGTGACTGGCCTAGCTTTATTCTTTTCACAGCCGTCAGGATGAACTCTATGTGTGCCGGTGAGAGGTATCCCTGCATCGACACTGAGTCCCAAACCACGCCTAGAAAAGTGGTCCTCTGTATTGGAGAAAGCACACTCTTTTGGGCGTTTAGCCGTAACCCAAACTCTTTCCTGTTGGCGAGAACGACATCTCGATGCCGAACCGCCAACTGATGCAACTGATCGTGAAAGTGCGGGGTGATAGTGCTAGGCCGACCGGAATAACTCGATATTGGTAAGGATGGAAATGTGGAAGTATGCGTCCTTGAGATCTATCGTGACAAACCAGTCCTCGGATCTGATCTGTGCCACGATTTGTC